TAATACCCAGCACAGCTTAAGGACCCAAACAAAAGATTAGTATACCATACTCTCCTATGGATCATCAGAAAGATGGTTAACCTTTAGACCGCTCAGGTTTTCATACAAAATATGGTAATACTATAGTTATTTAATGGGGTCATTGTCATGATAAAAATACATGTAATTTTATCATATACACTGAATAACAGTGAAATATATACCTAAAAATGTAGTTGTTTATATTTAAAATTGTAGAATTTTTGATGAAACCAATGAGATGGAAGTCCTCTGAAATGTCTATGAAAATGCATTAAAATATAAAGATGTCCATTTTACCTGAATTAAGGCCTCGCTGAGCAACTCTTCATTAACCTCCAAAATAATGTTTTTAATATCCTCGTATGGCATGCGATAAGATCCCAGGAAGATAGCTAAAATAAAATGTGATTTTATTAAAGACAGTATAATACCAAAGTGTAAAATTCTACTAGACAATTCCCATTTTATAAACTGAAAATATGAAAATTCTGTCACTCATACAAATTTATAGAATTATAAGCTCTTCTATTTGATGGAATAGTCTATTCATATAGGCAAAATAATCTATTATTTTCAGGTTATCATGTTTAAACCTTGTGTATACATATATACAAAATAAAATTCCTACTTCGATCTCTCATGATTTTGTATTCAGACATTTTATATTAAGTGTATACAAAATGAACCATAATAGCTGAAAACACGTTAGCTTAAGTTGGCCTTTTAATTGAATGTAGATTTTAATAGGTAGATTGTCAGATGTAGTCCACACAGTACTTCTCAGGAACAATAATAAAGTAATAATGGATCTCTTTTCTGAGGTTTTATTCACCTACACTAAACAATAGCCTGAAATTTTTAACTAGAAGGTTGAAGAAATACTTCTTGAGTTTTAAATTGTGTACTATTCTGAGTAGCACCATGAAATTCTATGCCGTATCACTCTGTCTCACACATATGACTTTCTGGTGCACCTGAGAAGTGCATGCTACCTGCTCCTTTATCATTTACTGGCTGTTATTGTTTGCATATATGTTCTTGCAAAACACTCGTGTTAATTGCTTGCTCTCCAATGCAAAATTCAGAAGTGAAGTTTAGAAAGTGACTGGATCATGAGAACTTTGACAAATTCATTGTTGAATTAAAAAACGAATGTACTATTAAAGTACTGATGAATACGCAGCTGAACATATTAGAAGATTAGAATTGGGTTACTGTGAGCATGCTTAGAAGGCATGCCCCAAGAATTCTTTTCATCTGGCTTGGTGCTTCTTGGCCACAATGAGGTGAGCAGATTTGCATCATCATATTGTTCTTACAATGATGTAAGTACATCACCTTGGGGCCAAGAGAAATAGAAGTGGGCCAATCATGGAATAAAACTTGTAGAACCATGAGGCAGAAAAAAAAAATTCCTCTCTTTTAAGTTGCTTTGCTCAAAAATTGTGTCGCAACAAATATTACTAGCACAGTACCCTTTTGGGTTATCAGAAGACTAAAAGGATTACAGTGCTTATTTTCAGTAATCTATAATGTACTTAGTAAAGACCGAAAAGCACAAGAGTAGTGATAGTGCTCATTTGGATATGCCAAAGAGAAACTGTCAGGTGCTTCATATATCATCTCAAATCATCATGTGAAGAATGCCACAGTACAGTAAGATCTCAGAGAAGAGAGACCATATTCACACAGCTTTTCATTCTGGCATATTGATATAATTTATGAATGAAACTTTAACGAACGCATGGATAGGGTTGATATAGCATACAGATGCAGGGTTCCATACTATCTGTGGTTCAGTCTTCCACTGGAAGTTTTGGAATGTGTCCCCAACAAATAAGGCAGGGCTATTGTACTATGCAACAAAAATGTTCGAGTACTCCACATTCCTCTAGTGTGTAGTAAACAATGAGTTCCTTCATATACCTAATGACTTTGCCTGTCAAACTTTACTTCACTGGATACAGTTTGCATCATTTTGAAATAATTCAATGAATTTTACTTAGAATAGCTCACAACTACTCAGTATTTTTCATTCTGTTTTTTGTTTTTTTCCCTTGGTCTTTTTGAGACAGAGTTTCCCTGGAGCCCCAGCTGGCCTGGCACTGGCCATATAAACCAGACTGGCCTTGATCTCAAGGAGTTCCTCCTGCTTCTGCTTCTCGAGTGCTTGGGACTAAAGGCATGTGCGCCCCCATGCCTGGCTCAGATAGTATTTTTCAACAACATATTCCACTCAAATAGTCATTAAATGTATTTTTAAAAGAATATAGGTATGTTCTTTTAAGTAGAATCTGAGTAGATATATGAAGTTCTTTTCATGAAAAGCTCAGCAAGCCTACACTGGTAACAAAAGTAAATACTCGCTGTCTAAGCAAGTGATTACCTAGGCATAAAGAGAGAATGAGAGCTCTACAACTGAACTAATGTTGAAGACAGATAAAAATCAGCAATTAACATCACACTGTTTTCAAAAGAAATTCTGAAGATCAACTTTGGAAAGAAAACTGTACTACCACTTGAGCAGCATACAGATTCTTAAGAGTTATTAGTAGATTGTTCTTTGACAGCAACATTCTTTCTGCTCCAAAAAGGAGGATGTGTTTATTTTAATCGTATTCTTGATAATTTCCCGTGGTATTTTTGTGCAATTAGAAATACTTGATGTTTTGAAATGTCTCCTGCATAGTGTTCCAGTATCTTCAGAATACAGTGATAAAAAATATTTCAAATTCAGTGCAGAGGAGAAAGTATGCCAAAGTAAAATGTAGAGGATGACTTTAACTGTCCGGTTACATTAGCCAAACCATATTTAATGACTCACTGGTTAGTTCAAGGCTTCAAGGTTCAGTAACAAGTTTTAAAGTACAGTGGTTAACAATTTAACTATTCCACATTATGGTTATTTTACACATAAAAGAATAGCAATAAAAGAATTTGCCTAATGTGATTAGTGAATATTCTAAAAAATATCGATCCCAGGTCTAAGCAGAAGGAGAAATAAACAACAATATTTTTTGCAGTGCTGACTTATATTTCGATTTGTTGCCTATTAAAGTTTTACTAAGAGATGTTTCAACAGCTTTGATAATCATAAGTTTCAGCTGCACTACACAATGTTCAATCATAATTTTCTCCACATTGACTAAAGGGCAAAAAAGGCAACCCAAATTATATTTATGTACAGTCTTGTTTCTAGCACTCTATCTACTGAAGGAAGTTGTAAGTTCGTTGAAATATATAGAACAAACCGTCACCACCATCAATATGCAGATACTACATACACAGATTCTGGGCTGTTTTAGGATCCAAAACTCTTAATTCCTTCACTTTCTTCTTTGCAGGACCACTCTTGTTTTCTTCGGCAGCATCTCCATTCTTTTGAACTGAAAGAAAAATGTTGATTCATAAACAATAGTGCTATTAATCGAAGTACACAAAATAACATTAGTAAGGCATAGTAACTACATTAATAAACCTGATTCTAAAATCAATAAATGAGTTTATTTCATTAGTTCAGATGAGGATGAACATAAAAATATAGAGCAGTTTGGAGGTTTCCTTACAAATTAAATATCAGCACTTAAGCAGAAAATATAAGCCAAATAAAACTAAAAATCAATTGCTACTTCTTGTTTAATGTGTAACATTAATTACTCCTTTGCCAGGTAGCTACAGGAGCACAGGAACTAAATATATAGTAAGATCTCACTAATTTGGACTAATTGTGGAAATAGGAAGACAGGAATTTCTCCCAAAATATGGTAAAATTTAGACATTTATTTAATTCAGTAAAATTGCTTTAAAGCGCCTAAGGTAACTTTAGTTGCTAAACAGGTTGCAATAGAAAAATCCCTACTGAGACTGCTTTGAAGAACAAGTACAAACCATTTTTTAAGATGCACAACAGTACCACACAGTTGCACATACATAATTAAAGATCCTCAAAGACATGGTCTTTTGACTATGTTAACTTTGTCTCAGTTACTGTCTCAAAAACACTCTGCTTTCCTAGAACAACAGATTTACTGTTTGTTCAAAAGGTAATCATCTAAGTGCAAATGGTTGAAAAGATTGAAGGTGTAAAGAGGTACAGCATCAATGGGAGGCTTTAGCCCCATGTTCACCATCAAAAGACACTAGCCCCAAAGTCCTCAGCAATTGGCTAAGAAAATGGAGCATAAAGTTAAATCCCTAAGTCCCTCCTGCACTGAATCTCTGCACCTGCCATTGCACTCAAGTACTGGTGCTTTGCCTCTTCCAATACAAAAATAGAACCATAGACAATAGAACCACTATATCATGTGAGGCAAATAATGTTAACTTTCTTTTGCAATCATTTAATGCTCTTGCCCCTAAACCCATGCTGCTAAATTTATCATTGATTCATACAACTATGATCATCATGGTGTCTTTTTCCTTATCCCTGGAAAAATTAAATCTTCATTTTAAGGTGACAATGATGATTAATATTTCAATTCATCTAATCTTTGTTAAGGACATTAAAGATGAGTTATTTCCTTTAATAGTGAAAAAGCAACATTCAATCATTTTATATTTTTGTTAAGGACAGATATTAATATGTAGGAAATTGTCAAAACATACTAAAGTATACAGAAAATTGTTGCAAATCCATTAAGATTCCCTTTGCTTTGACAGTGTAACATATAAAAAAATTTAACTTACACGAGTAGATAAATAACATATGAAATCACACAACAAGTATTAAAAGTTCTAAAGTTCAGCAGACTAATCGATGTAAGGGTTGCCACTGTCTAAGGAGAGTAGATAATAATTCCCATGAAAATTATGATTCTGTGAGGTGTCAAGTGCCAAGGAAAATGTATGCAAAAATGAGAGTTCGATAGACATTTTCATTGTCAATAAAACAAAAATATCTCAATCACATCAGAATTACTTCTAGAAGCACATTCAGAAAATTTTACACAGTTATAGAAGGAGTCAAGAAAATCATCCTAACTTCAATAGCCTTAAATTCCACTATAGAAAACTAATTACATGGGAACACACAAGATGAAAATGCTGGAACATGAAGGATATATGAATATTATTCTACAAAATGATAGGCTTCAGGCTAAGCCAGGCATACTTCATGCTCATTAATGTGAATTTATTCTTTAGTTATTATTTTTCATTAAAATATAGTCTAAGCTCTTTGCTCTTTGAATGAACAAAATGTTTCAAATTAAAATGAGACATCCTAAATATCTATAGTTCATAGTTCCATTTTGAATTATAGTATATTTTACCTGTTATATAACTTGTCTAAATCCTCAAGTTTAGAAAGTGCTAAGAACTCCATGATTGAATGCTTCTGTTTCAAGAGTCATAGTAATATAGCAAGCTAAAAATAGTTTCTAAACTAGAAAGGTTTTCAAAAACAATCATGCTTTGACCATGATAAGTAGCTATTAACTAGTGGCTATTGTTGCCTTTGGCTTTCTTGTTTTAAAAAGTATTCCTTATGGCTCTGAACCAGGGGCTCAGAAAAATAAGAATTCAAGCAAAAGTGGTGCAACAACAAATATTCCTATTTTATTAAAGTCACCATATATTAAAAATCGCCTTTCACAGTGACAATATAATATCACATGTTGTGGCTTGAGAGATAGCTTAGTGGTTAAGAGCAGTGGGTACTCTTGCAGGGCATCCAGGTTCAATTCCCAGTAGCCACATGGCAGCTAACAGCAGTTTAAAACTCCAGTTCCAGGGAATCCAATGCCGTCTTCTGACCTCCACAGGTATTGCACGTCATGAGTGCACTTACACACAGGGAATACACACATTCACATAAATTAAAAATAATAGGCTCCAGAGAGATGGTTCAGTGGTTAAGACTACTGACTGCTCTTGCAGAGGACCCAAGTTCAGTTCCCAGCACCCATATGTTGGCTGACAAGTGCCTGTAACTCCAGTTCCAGGAGATCCAATGCCTCTTCTAACCTTCGTGGGTATTGCATTATACGGGTACACTCACACACATGCAGGCAATACCATCATGCATGTATAATAAAAATATATTTTTTAAATTAACACATAATTGATTTGAAGGTGTGCTTATCAAAATTACAACAAAATGTTTGGGTCAAACAGTTATGAAATAAAGATATTATTGATTTCATGTTTATAGTAGTATAAACATTAGAAACAATTCATATATCCAAGGGATAGAAAATGGGTAAATTTTTTATATTAATATAATGCAATACCATACAATAGTTACCAGTGACTAAAATGTAGTTAAATATTTCAACAGGGATACATCCAGACAATAACACATAGATGAAAAATTACAAGCTGTGGAAACCAGTATGAATAGAAGTCCATCATTCATCTCCATTAATAATAAAAGAAACTAATCTTATATATTGTTTGTAGATGAGTACATAAAAGCAAAATGGTAAAAACATGTACAACATGATCAGATATCAGTGGTTGCCCGAAGGACAAAAAGAGATGCTGGAATAGGTAGAATGTTGGGGACTTGACATTACCCCTTAATGCTTGGTTTGTTTAAAAAAAAGATTTACAATAATCATGACTAAATGTTAAGGTGCCCATTCTCATCTGTTCATGTTAGTTGACTGGTCCATGAATTTGCTACATTAGCCTTTATAATTTTCTATTATTTCTACATAGAAATAAAATCCACAATATGCTATATTAAAAATTCTAATCTATTTTGATACTGTGTAAACTGACAGCATCAGAAATCATGGTGATCAAAGAGAATAATTACTTAAATGCAGGTAAAGTTTAGTGAGTTTGCTAGGCAACCACAGTTCTGTTGTCAATTGTCTTCGTGAGGAATAGCACATTTGTTTACCAAACCTTGAGAGGGAAAGCTGATGCAATATGCAGTAAAAGATTACATTTCTGTCTGCTTTTACATGCTATGTACTGCAGCTGTGAAGTTTCCCCTTCCCATGGAGCCAACAGCTGCACAGTAAGGCATCCTACAGAAAACTAGATTTCATCTTGACACCTGCATAGTACCTGAAGCAATAAGAATGGCATTATGAGGAGAATTCCTGAAGTTCAGGGCACACTGAAACAAGACTAATAGTACTAATGGTGGGAATCACACATACACACACACACACACACACACACACACACACACAGAGTTTGTAATGATTTCCCAATTAAGGAACAAATCTTACTAGTTGTAGTTTATATAACCCCCCCCAAATCAGGAAGCACATGTTACGGCAAATTAACATCTGCATAACTAATATACTTGTACACCTGTTCATTAAGCCAATTACTGAACCCTGTTAAATGTCACCAGAACAGTATGGTTAACAACATGCATAGCAAATGTTGCGTATTTTCAAATGGGCCTCAACATCTTGGCAGAAAACATATATTTGAGAGAGGGCAAATAAATATGTCTTAAAGTTTTAAGGATGAAGCTTGTTTCCACAGGTAATTTTAAAAGCCAAACAAATGAATGGTTCTTAATTCAAAGTAGATTTTGACAAATGAGATTGAAGTTTTTCCCATTAACTTTTAACTTATTTTAAGTGGATTATTTAACCTAGGGACTGTCCCTTTACCCATGTGTTTTCTCCAGCTTTCCATGAACCAATGGACATCTTTCCTGAAGTGCTACCTCCTCAGAAAACTCTTTGTTAAATTTCATAATCCATGTAACAAGTCAATGAGTCAAGTGATAAAGCACCACAGCTATAACGTCAAACCCAGAGAAATACCAAGAAAGGTATAAATGCAGGACATATGATATTAAAATCCAGTAATCCTAGAGTACAAAGGTAGTTCTTGATGAGAATATGGTTTGGACACTCATCATACACAAAACTATGATTTCTCGTGGTCAATCTCACATGAGTGTAAATGCTGCACTCAGTTTAGCTGAATGCATACTCTCACTAATTCTGCTGAGCAAGAGTGAACAAAATAACGTCTCAAAATTTTTCTAGCCCACATAGAACATTTTTCAGGTTTCAGTTCAGTTAATTTTGAGCATGTTTAGAAGTCAATGTAGATTCCACCACGGAATGAAGCTGCTGGGATCCTACTCATCCAGAAAGAAGCTATTACATTAGTTTGTTCTCAATTCCTGGATACCTGTACTTCTCATGTAATAATGGTCTCAAATTTAATACAACCTAAATAAAGTTCTGGATTTACTCCAAAAACTGTTCCTCACATAGTCTTCTCTATCACAACAAATGGCAACTCATTTCTAACAGTTAAGGTAGAAGGAAATACACGCATAGAAGCACCCACAAGGCCACCATTAACATGTGCCCTGGAGTATTACAGTAGCCTCATTTTTCCCGCTGTGGTGATCTTCGTTATATTCTGGAAATTAATTTATGTTATTTTTCTGCTGAAAACT